AAAAAAAAAAAACAATAATAAAAAGTTTTATTGTGTTTCAACAATAAAACTTTTTACCTAGCCAAAGCCTGAATGTATGCATTTCTTTCCAATGCAAGACGAAACAGACAAGCCACTCTAATCCCCAAACGAAAGCCTTGCAAGCACCACAAAATGATTTCTGCATCTTCTGATGTTTGCAAACCTATACTAAAAGCAGCCAAACAAGGAGTCCACGCAATCTGGAAAGTCTTTTTAAGAACGTTTTTTGAAACATTATAGATAACGGATACAAAACTACACCTTAAACATTGGGCGCACATGTTCGTAATGAGAAGCAGAAGTAAAAGTCGCTTCGTAATGTGAAGCGGCTTCCATCAAAGCCTTTGCAGTTTGTGACATTTCTGCTAATTCCAGATCTTGTAACAGTTTACGTTGGCGTTCTGTTGTCGCAGAAGCACCTATTCGAAAAGGATGACATGAGGAAGAGAAGCGACAAAAAAATTAGTTGTTATTTTAAATAAAGATGCCCACAATTTGAATACTTCAAAAATACTGAAGGAATGATTAAAGAAGTGGAAGTAAGGAAACTAAAACACACTTTTTTTAGGCAACCTATTGTGACCCGGTTTCATCTTTATTTCATTGCCAGCAATTTCATCATAGATATCAGAGAGGTACTCCTGAGGCAGATCGGACTGATCGTTGATACCTCTATTCATCGCAATATACTGTTCCTTGGTCATTTTACTACGAACCTATAAAGATTCTGGTTCGAAAAGTTTTAAGTTGTGAGAAGCAACTCTATTAACAAAAAATGTTACTTGAGGACTATGTAAATCCGTAGTAAGCATTATAATTGAATAAGCCAGGACGTATGCAGTGTCTGCGGACGCAAATAAACCCAAACTGAAGAAGTACTCAAGGTAATTAGAAACTAAAATATACCTTGCACCTGTTTCAAACGTCTAAAAAAATTAGTAAAAAACACAATGGCACGTACTGTGGGTTACACTCGCAATAGCGCGATGCGAACTTTTCCATAAGACGATCAATTTTTTGCGCCTCACCGGGAAGTCGGAATCCATCTAGAAACAAACGCAGAGCCGCCACAAAATCTCGATTTGAAAAGTCTAGCTGGTCGACATAGGCGTACATAACTTGCTTATTAAAGCTAAATTTTTCAAATAAAAAGTATTTTGCTAACCATTTCGCACTGTTTTTTTCCTATATTTTGTTCAAAAAACAAAAACTTCTGCAGGAACGACGATATCGTTAATATTCGAGGGGCCAGTCAAAAAATGAATAAAAAGTGTTAAGCCTCTAGAAAACCAAAAGGTGGTAATCAAAACAAATATAAAAATTTCTTTTAGACTTACTCTTTACCGTCACCCATGAAATCTCCCACAACAGACTTATCAAGCCGATCTTCTCGGTGGAAAAAAGCAGCAATATCTTCAGGATCTGTTCCGACTAGATTTCGCTCTTGCAAGAATTTCAACCCTTGCATTGGTTTCCGTGCAAATCTGCAAAACCACAAATCACTCTAATATAACCCTGAAATAAAATAACCCACTTTCTAAAAGAAAAATAAAACTATTAAAAAGCAAAATTTTACAGCTGAATGCCGTGCTCCATCGTCTCTTTTTTCTGTTTCAGCTGCTCGAACTGCGAAACAGTAGGAGATGATGGCTGCGCTCCATTTTCAACAGTGACCCCTTCAACACTGTCACCGTCTAAAACTGAAAAAGGATAACTCAGAAAAAAGGCTAAAACAGGACAGTTAAAGAAATACTATATATTACTAGCCCGGAAGTGATGAATTTTCATTTGTCCGTCCCGTACATACATCATCAAACCAGTCAACCATGCACTGTAAACACTCCACTAAACACTTTAAGCCAAGTATTCGCATTGACCTTTCCCTTTGTCGTTGCAGTAGCGCTGCTGAGCTGCCATAGTCAGTTATTGCACCACCCTAAAATATCATTTAAAGCAAAACTCAAAGAATACGTTCCCTTTCATTAGAAGTTATGCAACTCATTGACACAAAACAACCCAAAGTTTAAGAAACTGATCGAAAAATACCTGAAAAGTAAAGAAATAACAGAAGGTAAAACTCACTTGAGCTATTTTTGAAAGTGAATTAATAATCCGTTCGAATATGTTGGCAGCAGTAAGGTTACAATCATAATTTACATAAATATCAACAACGCTTTGAGGATCTTCGCAAATTTTTTCTAATGTATTTACCACAATCCACTTATGTTCAAATGAACTTGAGCTGCTTTCCAAAATAGAAAAAATTATTTCTCTAAAGAATACCTGAAAATATTAAAGAAATAATAAAGCTATTAAAAGGATTACAAAGATTCATTTAAAGAGGTAATAAATCTAATTGCAACGTATCAGAAAAACTACCTCAATTTGTACTTTCAAGTGCATTTTGAACTTATTGACCAACTGCACAAAAATTGCAAGTGATTTCTCGAATATTGTAACTATAGGCGACACTCCATTTCTCGACAACGAAACACAGAGATAATGGCGTAAAGCGAGAATAAACGGCTGTGAAGTGTGTAATAAGGAAGATGAGTTTTGCACAATCAGAAGAAGCATTTCAAGAGACAGTTCTTTTGAACGAAGTTCATGACTGCTTAAAAATGAAGGTGATTTAAAAAACAGAAGTAGTGTTTTCAAAACAACCACAGTAAACAAAAGTTCACTAAAAACAGCACCCCATCATAATCTTTTTCACCACTCAAAGAAAATTTTTAGGATAGCACAAGCAATTAGTAAGTTCTATACAACGCTAAAATTTTGATATCAAATTAATTAAAGTAGTTGATGCTTTAATAGCTGACGTTTTATCACTTTAATTTCGCTTTTTTTCTTTTAATTAGTGTTTGAGGCATAAGTTTTTATAACTAAGCAAAAAAGTCCGCCCTCATAAACAGATGAAGCCGAAAAAAAATTAATCCGCTGACCAATAAAATTAACACTGCGTAAAACTTCTTGAAATCCTTCGAATCAGTGTAATAATCTACCAATTATGAAAAAAAATTTAAAATCTACTTGGGATCGGGTTTATCTGGCAACGACTTAGTAGAAAGTCGACATAAAGCGCGAAATAACAGAAAAGCATCTTTTTCCTGTAAGGATCGAAAGTGTAACTGCGCTGTAGGAACATCATCATGAATAGTGTCAGCAGAGTCAGACGCTAACGAAACTGGATTTAACATTCGCAAAGCCGGCAAAGATACCTCAGCGGACATTGCCTGTAAACTTGTATTAATAACTTTTGAATCTCACTAGTGAAAATCAAAATTTCAAAATGATAACTGTTTATGACATACTTATTGACAAGATATGATCACTAAAAACTACAACTACCTACCGAAGCAAAAGAACTGTGATGACTGCTTGCAACAGATGTATTTGGTTCGATATGGGAAACAACCTGATCAACAAGCGACTCAACAAGATTTTTTACAACCTGGACAAAAATCAATCATGGGTAACTGCAGCCGATAAATGAATTTATTAACAAATCTTTCACAAGCACAAATTCTTCAGCAACCTACCTGTTCATCACTAACAGTTTTTTCATTATGCTCTTCGAAAGCTTTCTGCATGCTTCCAAACGCCGCGTTGATTACCTAACAAATGAAGATTCAGCAAAGTCAAATTCAGTAAAAGTTATTAAAAGGTAGCAACAAATATTATAAAAAAATAATAATGATAACAATTAATAAACGAGTTGTGAAGTGAGATGTTCACAAATTACCTGCGTTAAGGATGCTTTTGCTGTAGTTTGATTAATAGGGCTACGGCTAGCGAGATAAATATTAAAGCATGTTCGCACAGCTAACAGTAAAGAAGCTTCATGAACTTCGCATGTCGGTGCTAACACAACTGCAAGTATCGCCTAAATAAAGAGAGTGTAATACATATAATACATATGCACCGAAGTTATAATTTTAAGAGCAACATTTCGAAAAAAGCGATATATAAAAAACACTCGTATTTCAATGCAAATGAGAACCTTCAAAATTTGTAGCTGAACACCATCATCCGTATTTGGGCCAATAAATGGGACGCAAATGGCCTCAACTATTCTGTCAATTAAAAGCCTTTCTGGATTTGCAGCGTCCGGGCCTTTACCTACTAAGTGACCATAAGCTATCAATTTCTGAAAATATAATAGCGCAACATGTAAGAAGCTGAAAAATGTTCTTACATATGGAAATTTCGAACTATAAAACAGTGTGAGCAAAACATGCTGCCAGAACTTCTCCCGTTTATGAGTTTAAGACCGACCTGTAAACAATCTAGCGCGATAATAATGATCCTTGGGCACTTAGAGTGACAAGCAAGATCAAACGGCAAAAAATAACGATCAGCATGTACAAATTGGTCTTGAGAGGGTAATATGCCGCTTGACGTTTCAATCTGCTGATTTTTTTCAGCTATTTTCAGCTCCTCTAAAGCCTGTTCACAAGCTTTTCGAAGTTGAGCATGTTCCTATAAATACAGCAATAATGTCCTTCAAAAGAACTACACTCAAAAAGCACCGGCTCATACCTTTCTTTTAATATCTCGGTCTGAGAGAATACGACTGATAGCGTTGCGAAGAAACATTACAGAGACCTTCTTCAAGTTATCATTCATATCCGCTCATTCTCTTAACTGAAATTACATCAGTTAAACAAAACTGTAGCTCCGAGCATTTCGGCGAAGAATAAAAAACAACACTGGAAATGACTTTGACTAATTCATCAACCGCCAATGCTAACAATAAAAAAGTGCCAAAATTGTAAGCCACAATATTTGTCAATGCACATATCATATATTTCGTAGAACGCAACAGTCACAACAAAAAGAAAAAAAAAAACAAAGACGTAAACCATTATATTTCTTTTTCATTGGAAATCATACTGACACTAGATAAAAAAAAGCTAAAAAAAGGCAAGAAAAAAACAGAAAAAAGAAAGACAAAAACCATTTCAATTGAGTATTCCAGAAAATTCCCTTACAAATTCATGTTACCATAAAC